TACCTGGAATTATAGGCAACTGCCACCATACTCAGCTATTTTTAGTAGAGCCAGGGTTTCACCATGTTGGCCAGGCTGGTCTCAAACTCCTGACCTCGCGATCCACCCACTTCAGCCTCTGAAAGTGCTGGGGATTACAGGTGTGAGCCACCATGTCTGGCCACGTTTATCTTCTTAAAAACCCAATCTGAGCACTCACAGTCATGCTCCTCTGGGCAATTCCTTATTGCCTGGCCACACCTGAAGCCCTCCGCTGCCTTTCGTCCAGTCTGTTCCAGTTCTCTATTCCTCCCTGGACCCCTTTTTGCTACATACTCAATGCCTAAAACACACCATGCCCCTCAGGGCTCCCTACAGTAAACTCACTTTTTGCTCTGCTGTCATCCCTTTCCCCAGAGCATGCCAGCACTGAAACCACCAATCTCCAACTTCCCTTTCCACACAGGCTTCAAAGTCATCTTCACCTTGAAGACTGTATTCACTCTACTAGCCACCCTAACTGGACCCTCCGCAGTTCTCTGGGAACACCATGTACACGTTTCACCTTTCTAGCATTTTCTACATGGTCCTAAGAGTCTTAGTTTTTCATCATCTTTGTCCCAAACCACAATATGAGACCTCAGCACCTAGATCTTAGCACATAGTAGATGGAAATCTATGCAGGCCATCATTAGTTCTATTGTTACTGAAATGTTTGTTAAAATGCATGAATGAACGGTTGAGTGAAGCCTAGAAAGAACTACAAATGCTCAGGCAGTGAAGTCTTGATTTCTGGGAAAAGCAATGCTGTGAATAATTTAATTTTATGGTGAAAGAAAAGCCAAACAAGGATTAGACTGGGAAAAGTTGTCAGGAGGCACTAATGTTTGCTTCTGACAGCTCTAGTGTCCTCAGTGTACCTCTGGCTGATACACTTAGAGTGTGATTTTGAAGGGGTGATTTCTCAGGGATTCTCACCTATTTCTATCATCCTCTCTTGTGCAAAGCTGTTTCATTTTGGTCTGTAAATAAACAAAGCTCCTTCCTGCTTGGAGTCCAGATAGCCTATTCCTGAAGGCTGTGGTTCCAAATGAAAGAAGGGATGTTTGTCCTTGTATATATTTATTTTCATCCCTAACCACTGGATTGAGGAGAAGGCTGGTTCACTGCTGTAGGTTGGGTTTTCCAGAAGCAAAGGTTGAGACAGATTTGGGGGGCATTAAGGATGGTCAACTGTGAAAGAAGGAAGAGAGAGAAGGACTGGGTAGAGGAAAAAGAGCTGAACCAAGGTACATTCTTGCAGCACCTTGGTGAACCCAGCAGAGTCTCTGGAGTGAGTGGTGTCCATCAGAGCCCTTCTGCCTCTGCTTTGCCAAGTCACCAGGTGCTGGCTGTCCTGGGAAGTGCAGCACCTCGGGAAGGCAGCTCTCTGCAACTGAGGCAGGCCCTGGAACATCTGGCAGCTGTCTGCCAACTTTACTCCATCCTTAAAGGGGAGTTTGGCCATGGCATCTCAGTCTCTACCGTGCTTCCTATATCCACGCAACCACCGTGACCTGTTATTTCTTGTTCCATGGAATCTCTTCTGTCTACCTCTGTTTCTACAGCTCAATTCAGTACCTCAGTGAAGATCCTTATATTTTCTCTCTCTCTTTGATTACTGAAATAGCTTCACACTGTTTTCCCTAACCCCAGTCTATCCTCTGCTATAATACTGCCACAGAGTGCTTTAGAAAAAACACAAGTTTAATTGCTTTCCTCCTGGCTTAATGCTCCTTTAGTGGTTTACAGTGGGCTTCACGATTAAGTTCAAACACTTAAGTATGGATTACAGGGCCCTACATCCACTGCCCCTATCTGCCTCCCCAGCCTCCTCTGTCCTTCAACACCCACCCCCTACCAGTCCCCACCCCAGCTTCTGTTCCAATTTACCTAGCCCTTTTGATAGTTCCCTTAGGGGCCCCTTCTCCCTTTTTTCCTGTCCTTGCTCAAAGACGCGTCCTCTGCTGATGAAGATCCCTGTGGTCCCACAGCCTATGATTAGACCCGGATCTCCTCCTTGCATGCTTAGGACGCTTTCTGCCTCGCAGCGGTCTGCAGCCTCATGTTCTGAGCCTAGAGGACATAGAATCAAATTAATCTCCTTTACCAGCTAAGGTTTCTTCCTAAATTACTATAGAGAAAACTTGAAAGAGTGCCCCACCCTGCTAAACCAGTCTGGAACCTTTTTTATAAAAATTACACCTTTTATGTTTGTGGAGATTGGGGATGAAGGTGGAACAGAATTTCCATTTTGACCTTCCTATGAAAACCATTTTTAAAAAGTCTCAATTTAATAGGTAAGGTTTCTAAATGGTGCTCCTTTTTTTATTATTTATTTATTTATTTTTAACATACATAATGCTTGTTCTAAAAATATTTCTCTTGATCCCTTCATCCATTCGGAACGTACTTTTAAACAACATTTACTCCAAAATGTAATGTAATGAATAAGAGCAGAGGTTTGGGTATCAGTCAGAGTAGAACCCATGGCCTGTCTTCAGCTCTTAGGCTGTCACTAGGGAGTTTACTTTTCTTCTATAAACCACAATTTTCCCATCTGTCTGTGAAATGGGGGTAGTATGGGTACTATGTTATCCTTCACAGAGGGGTAATATGAAAATGAAATGAGAAAATGCATGCTGTGTCCTTAGTGCAGACCCCAGCATGAAAGTTCTCAGCAAACCAGACTGCAGTCTCTCCTGTGTTAGATACTAGACATAGTGACATAATTTAGATATTGTCCAGAACGGTATTATACAAAGCCAAGGGCACTGCTCTTTTCCAGGTTTCTGCCACTTTGACATTCAAAACAGACTAAGATTTTCCTGTTCTCTGCCCCATCCTTTGAGCATCTTAACCTTATCCTCCAGACCATCAGTGTCCAATAGAAATGTAATATGAGCCACATATGTAATTTTAAATTTTTCAGTAGCCATGCTAAAGAAAGTGACACTAATTTTTAATATCTCTTATTTAACTTAATATATTCAAATTATTATTTTAACATAGAATTGATATAAAAATTATTGAGATATTTTACATTCATTTTTCCAGATGAAATCTTTGACATCTGGTGTGTATTTTCCGCTTAACACCTCTCAATTCGGATGCTATATTTTTGTTGGAAATACTTGATTTTTATTTCTTAAATTAATATAGAAAAAGTAGATTTGCATGCCCAAGTTGTTCCAAACATAATTAAAAGTTTTTCAGTAACTGAATTGAATAAGTTGAAGTTAAAACTAAATAAAATGAAGAATTTAGTCCCTGAGTTATTCTAGACATACTTCAAGTGCTCAGTCCACATGTGACTGGTGGCTGCCATAGTGAACAGCAAAGTTCTCGTAGAAGTCACTGCAGAGGTTGCAGTCTTCCTTTTCTTATCTAAACTTGTTTTCATATTTAATTACAGATAGAAGCTCTTTACTTAAAATGGATAAAAATGGTGTTGTGGAGGTGCTTTGGTTCCATTTAGAGGAGGGTTGTTAAGCTGTTCGCTCTCTGACCCCTCTCCCAACCTCCACCCTCACCTCTATCCCCAGAGGTCCTGGAGCACCTCTGCCCAGCCCTTGAGCTCCATGGAACAATTAACAAGTGGCATCTTAGCACTCAAAAATTGCTGATCATGCACCCAGATTCTATCTTGGGGCTCAAAGGGATCTTAGTATATCTATGAGTCAACTCCTAGCCCCTCCCTGCAGTGCAGAAATACTATAGAATTCCTTGGGGGATGAAAGAGGGCTCAGACTCTGTTTAACACCTAGGAGCAGATGGATCATTTCATTCTATTCTGTCTTACGTGGTTCTCTGTGTCCTTATCTTGTCTTCCTAACTAGGTTGGGGGCAAGGACTGCTTTTTACAGCCCCACAGCACCCACACAAAGCAAGACAATCAATAAATTCTTAACTGAAGGCCTGACTGATTGCAAGAATTCAAGGTCACTTGAAAAATCAGGGTCACTGCATTGCACAACTCCAAAGAACATCATTCAAATTGTATTATATGGTTGTGCAAGTGGCAGCCTTGTAAAATTTGCAAAGGTTTAGACTGGAGTGTCCTTTCCAGCTGAGAAAAAATTTTTAACAAATTATTTGTTGCTGCAAAGTACATCTCTTTCCCCTTATCCTCTGCCAGGGAAGCTACTCAAGAGTAAGTTTTCTTGACTTAGGAATATATGTTCATTAGAGAGGGTGTATGCATGTATGAACACATGGGTTCATGTGCGTCTAAGTAGGTTTGTAGATCTACCGTGTTAGGAAGCCCATTTGGAATGGTTTGAGCATTTGAACCTTGTATTTAAGAGGCTACTGTGTTTATATTCCTTTTGAAATTTTCCATTTTCAGAATCTTTGGTTTGAATGATGCTTTAGAGCTCCTGGTTTGTAAAGCTCCCCAGAGCATGACCCATAGGTACCAAGCATGTACATCAAAGTCACTGGATGAGCAAAGGGCCTCTTGATGACTGCATGGTTTTTATCTTTGCAAATGCAGAGGAGGGAGGAGGGAGCAAAGAGTTTCTCTTAAATAAAACCCTCTGTTTACTTTTGTGTTTTTCAAACTGATGTGTTTGTTTTTTCTCATGTCTACCCAGGAAACCAAGTGCTGCCTCCTGGAGCTTCTCTTGGAAATGGGCTCACACCAGAGGCAGCAAGAGACCTTGGCCTTCTCCCTGGGATTGCGGTTGCAGCTTCACTCATTGATGCCCATGCAGGAGGACTAGGTAATCTCTTTATTTGTTGCCTACAGCCAAAACCGTATTCAAATGGAATATTCCCTAGAACCGATGACACTCCTTTTCTGTTTTTAAAGCAAAGGTCAAAGACTTTGGTGTTCAAGATTAGGCATTTGGATAGAATTATAGAACTTTTCATTAATGATAAAATTTATTTATAATTGTATTAATTTCTTTATACATGGCAATAGAAAAAAATTTATTTGAATAACTTTCTGCATAGTTCTTTTGTTTACTGAAAATTCAGAAAAGATACGTTAATTTCTTACCACACTTAGCTCTACTGTTTTTTTGTAATGGTACTCCAAAACCCATATAAGTCTCATAGATTTATTTTAATAATGTATTTGGCTTATGTCCTATATCCAGTTCCTTGCTTGTAGTCTTGATTTTATCTTCTACATAACTCTCAAGCCTTTCATTCATGTATTCATTTGTTCATTCCCAAAACACCCGTTGAACACTTACCATGTCCAGGCATGGTGCTAGGAGACAGTGAACTTAAAACAAAACCAAATAAAACCAAGGTCTCTTCCCCAGATTTTAATGGGAAAACACACAGGGAAACAAAGAATTACAGTAAAGAATGATGACTATCGTCTTCCTCATCCTTATTGCAGGTTGTGTGTGTTTTTTTGCAGGGGAGGTTGTTCTGGTTCTCAGCATCTCTCGTCTTAACTATAGCCATATATTTTTTCCCTAGCCTTTCATTCTAACAGTGTTTTGTTTTAAACTATGATTTATAATTCATGAGATCAATTTAGCAGGACATGACCACTGAATTTGCACAACAGAATGGAACAGAATTGAATAGAACAAAGTAGAAAACATCAGAGTACATTTCACAAAGTAAGGGAAGGCACTGCTTTGTTGAACTGTGTTTCCATTTTATGTGTGTATACTTTCAGACACTTCCATCAACCCTGCCCTTACTGTGCCCATGCATTTATACCTCTGTGACTTGGCACACATGTTCTCTGCCCAGAATGATTGGTCCTCCACTACTCCAGCTGGCTAACTCTTCCTCTAACTGCAAGACCCATATCAGATGCTTTCTGCTCTGCATAGCCTTCCATGAAACACTCAGGTGTATTTAGAAATTCTCGAAATTATGCTTTTTTCAGCAAACTGTTTGAAGAAATGATCATATTGCATTGTAATTTCTAATATATCTGCTTGTCATTTCCATTAGACTGTGAACTCCTTGAGAGCAGGAACATTAGGTTATTTGTCCTGTATCCTTCATGCCAAGCCCTACATCTGGCTCCTATAGCTGCTTATAAGTTTATTAAATGAATAGTCACATTAAGGCAAGAATAAAGTGAGATGGCTTTAAATAGTAAAGATTAATCTGCCTTCTTATGCAACAGATTATTAAATGGTGCCTTGTTCTACATACTACATGGACTTCCAGAGTAATAGCGCTCTCATCAGTCTATGAACATGTCTGTCCTGTTCATCTCTCTGTCCTCAGGATCTAAAACAGTACCTAAGAATTAGTAAACAACTCATAATATATGTAGGTTGATTGAATGCTATGTGATGTAGTTCCGATTACAGGCAAGGTTGTTTCTTTCCAAATACTTTTCATTGTGAGCAATGTGTGCTTTTGATTGGAATGCTAAGATTTTGGTTTTTATGTACAAGCACAGAGAGAACTTAAGGTCTTGAAAGACATGGAGTGTTTCTGTGCCCTAGCAATCCTGACATTCCAGATCATGCGTGAGGCCACAAAAGCTTTCCCTATCATGCTTTTAAAATTATCCCTGGGGTGACAGTGTCAATCATCCACCCCTACCTGGGTGACAGGCACTTGGCTGGGACCAGCATATGCTGAAAGAAAGAGAACTGCTGCTTGAAGAGCTGCAGACACTACAGTTTCCTTGTCAGTTTCCCAGACTTCCCTCAGGGACATGCCAAAACCCACCTTCTCACTCCTGCCCAGGACTCACTATGTCCTCCAGGAGGGGAGACTGCCAATGACCCTCATCTTATTCCTAAACAGAGATATTCAGTGGCAGAAGTTTTACCCTTAGAAGCTTTGGCTTAAGCCTTTTGTTCCCCGTAAAATGTAAATGCTTTTAAGTGATATGGTTTGGCAGTGTCCCCATTCAAATCTCCACCGAGTTGTATCTCCCAGAATTCCCACATGTTGTGGGAGGGACCCAGAGGGAGGTAATTGAATCATGGAGGCTGGTCTTTCCCATACTATTCTCATGACAGTGAATAAGTCTCACAAGATCTGATGGGTTTATCAGGGGTTTCCGCTTCTGCTTCTTCCTCATTCTCTCTTGCTGCAACCGTGTAAGAGGTGCTTTTTGCCCTCCACCATGATTATGAGACCTCCCCAGCCATGTGGAACTGTAAGTCAAACAACCTCCTTTTCTTCCCCGTCTCAGGTATGTCTTTATCAGCAGCGTAAAAACAGACTAATACAGTAAATTGATACCAGTAGAGTGGGGCGTTGCTGAAAAGATATTTGAAAATGTGGATGCAACTTTGGTACTGGGTAACAGGCTCATAGGTGAAAGAGACTTGCCTTGTCTCAGATGAGACTTTGGACTGTGGACTTTTGGGTTAATTCTGAAATGAGTTAAGACTTTGGAGGACTGTTGGGAAAGCAGCTGGGAGGGAAGCTGTACCCTGCAAAACCACAGGGGCAGTGCTGCCCAAGACCATAGGAACCTACCTTTTGCATCAGTGTGACCTGGATATGAGACCTGGAATCAAAGGAGATCATTTTGGAATTTTAAAAATTTGACTGCCTTGCTGGATTTTGGACTTGCCTGGGCCCTGCAACCCCTTTGTTTTGTCCAATTTCTCCCCTTTGGAATGGCTGTATTTGCCTAATACCTGTATTCCCATTGTATCTAGGAAGTAACTGGCTTGTTTTTTATTTTACAGACTCATAGGTGGAAGGGACTTGCCTTGTCTCAGATGAGACTGGACTGTGGACTTTTGGGTTAATTCTGAAATGAGTTAAGACTTTGGGGGATCGTTGGGAGGGCATGATTGGTTTTGAAATCATGTGAGGACCTGAGATTTGGAAGGGCCAGGGGCGGAATGATAATGATTTGGCTGTGTCCCTATTCAAATCTCAACTGAATTATATCTCCCAGAATCCCCACGTGTTGTGGGAGGGACTTAGGGGGAGGTAATTGAATCATAAGGGCCGGTCTTTCCCATGCTATTCTTGTGATAGTAAGTCTCACAAGATCTGATGAGTTTATTATGGGTTTCCGCCTTTGCTTCTTCCTCATTCTTTCTTGCTGCCACCATGTAAGACATGCCTTTTGTCCTCTGCCATGATTGTGAGACCTCCCAGCCATGTGGAACTGTAAATCAAATTAAACATCCTCTTCTTCCCAGTCTCAGGTTTGTCTTTATCAGCAGCATAAAAACGGACTAATGCAGTAAGTTAGTAACTTCCCCCCGTATTTTTGTTAGTGGAAAGATAGAATAGTTTTTTTTTTGTTTTTTTTTTTTAAATGGAAAGATAGAATAAGAATCTTGGATTCTTTAAGGCCTGAACTTAGATGCCAGCAGTGGCTGGGAAGGGCACAGGAAGGTGCTAGTCCATGACGATGGGATAGTACAGACTTACTTAATGTATGTTGACTATGTTTTATCCTTATTATGCCTTCTTACGCCTCTTCCTTTACCCTTCACCTTACAGCCAATCCAAGATTAGGATATATCAAAAAAGATAGGAGGCCTGGGAGCAAATGTTTCCTCTCATTTCTGCCCTTCCTATACCCCTATTAGGATGTAGAGGTGAACAGAGGCCTGAAAGTCTTGAAAAGGTTGTCCATGGGTCCAACTCTATATTAACTAAATATAATTGAGTGAATGCAACCTGTCAGTGATTGGTCTAGGCACTGGAGATTATCAGCAGTGAACAAATCAGGCAAAGTCCATTCGTTTCGGAAGGAAAATTCTCATTGTTCTCTCCTGCCTGCATGTTTGTAGCTTAATAATATAGGTTTGGGACAGCTAATCCCTGAGACATATTGTGATGCTATGATAAGGGCACTCAACATGGAATTTTAAGTTCTGGATTTAGATTTTGTCTCTGCCTACAAATATGGTGCTTCTCAGAACGTTTGTTTCCTTTTATGCAGTGAGAGAGTGAGAGACAGCAGAATGCAGGATTCACTACTTTGTGATTCTGTATAGGTTGAGGTCAGAAATACTCTCAAGAACTGGCTAAATGAACTCTATGTTAAGAGATTTCTGAATGTCAAATACAGACCAGCTTTGGATTTGGAATTGCCATCCAGGGAGAGGCCATCCAGGCCTCTCACCAACAAACCCTGACAACTGTAGTCACTTCAAATGCTGACCTGGCATGGCCTGCTTTAGACCCCACATTCTGACTAGTATGAGGGGTCAGCATTCTGCTTTGGAGAAATACCCCTGAACTTTCATTCCCAAGGGAGGCCTGGGATGGGAGGATAAAGATCAAAGAAGCAAGCAAAACTCAACCCATGCTTTTCCCAGTTCTGGAAAAAGAGGAGGAAGGACTTTGTGGGAATAAAAATCAATGATGAAAGAACATTTTGTTCTTAAGGTGCTGGTTAGTAAGTTCTCCAGCAGACAGTCAGAAGATAGGAGTAGCTTTGTTTGTACTTTGTGGGGGTAGTTCTGGCCAGGGCTCCTGCTGCTGATATTTTTCTAGCTTATAAAAATAACATTAACTTTGTTCCAGCTCTGTTCTTGGCTCCAGCATCCCAACTGTCCTGAAAGGCAATAACAACCTGATTTCTGTCTCAGGCCCTTCTTCTCTCAGTTGCTTTTATCTGTCAGACAAACTCCTGATTATCCATCAAATCTTGAATCCTGTTCTCCTCTGGGAAGCCCTCCCTAACTTCCCAAGTTGACTTAAGCACTCCCTTTTTTCCCCCACTGTGTCTTACGCTTACAATCTGGCACACACAGGTTTCTCTGTGCCAGATTGCCTCACCTACTAATCTGCCTCTTCTACTGCT